GAGCGCTACCCTGGGGGGCTCCGGCTCGGGGGCTGCAGACGCAGGTGGGCTCAGGGGTCCCTGCTGCGCCCCACGGGCCCCGGAGGGGTTGGTTCTGCTCTGAGACGCCAGGTTCTCAGACGCGGCAGCTCCAGCCCCGCGGTGACCAGCGTCCCACGGAGAGGGCGCCGGCCCGGCCCGGACAAGAGCCAGCGAGCCCCAGGGGCCAGCAAGCGGGGGCCAGGCAGGAGCGGACCCTGCCCCCTGGGGGATTATGGGGGGACCCTGGTTTGAGACGGTCAAAGCCACCAGGCAGCAGCGCCAGTCTCAGGGCCCCCAGCGAGTCCGTGAACATGCGGAGGTGGAAACTGGCTCCGTTCTCCACCTGTCCTATGTGTTAACCTGACCACACTGCAAAGCAAAGGGGGTGGGAGGGGAAGGGGGAAGCCACTGACCTGTGACGGCGTCGGTGGAGACGGGGCCGAGGCGCTTGCGGCCGGAGACGCCGTAGAGGTTGAACTTGTATCTGTGGGAGGGGGCCAGGTTGGTTACGATGAACGTGCGGGATCCCCCGTCCACGGGCAGCGACTGGGGCTTGCTCTCCGCGTCCCGGTACTGCAGGAGGAAGGAGTCAAAGGTCCCCTCTGTGGTCCAGGAGAGCAGGGTGGAGTTGTGGGTGACGTCTGAGGCCGAGAGCTCCCCCAGGCTGGGATGGGCAGTGGGTACCTCCTTCCGTGGTGCTGCAGCTGGAACAGAGGGGGTGTGTGTGAAGGGGGCGGCTGGAGTCAGGGGTGGGTTGCCGGGTCCTTGCAGGGGGGCTACTAATTCCTAGCCAGAGGGGATCTGCAGAGAGGATCAGCAGGGGAGGGTGCAGGGAGCCCCAGGGACCAGCCCCAGGACACAGCCGGATCCTGCTGCCGGGAAGGAGAGCTGGGGACAGACAGACGGACGGGGTATGTCTGCAAAGAGGATCCCACATTCCCGGTTCCCCGCGGTCACCCCGCCCCGTGGGGGAGTCGGCCCAGAGTGACCGGCACAAACCTCGGTGAGAGTTGAGCTGAGACGGGAGGAGTGAGGGGGAAGGAAGAACAAACGAGAGAGAAAGAGAAGGGGGTGAAACAAACCCTCCAACATCAATGGAAAAATCCCCATTGACACCCATCCAGCCCCAGACATTCCTCCAAACATCCCTCCATCCTCATACGCACCCATTCATCTATCCATCCATCCATAACTATCCCCTCCATACACATCGATGCCCATAGACAGCCATCCATCCATCCATCCATCCATCCATCCATCCATCCATCCATCCATCCATCCCCATAGACATCCATTCATCCCCACCGATCCCCCTTCAGAGCCATCCATCTATCTATTCGTTCATTGATCCATGCACCCCATGCACATCGATCCATCTGTCTAGCCACCCATCCAAACTCCTCCACCCCTGGAATGGCCGGTAGACGGGTTGTAGAGGTTGGAATCTGGGAAGTGTCTTCCCAGGAAGGTCCCGGCTGGCAGCTGCTGTCCCCACCCACTGGAAAGCAAAGGGGGTGGGAGGGGAAGGAGATGGCACCCACGGGAAAAGCCGCTGACCTGTGAGAGTGTCGGTGGAGATGGGGCTGAGGCGCTTGTGGCCAGAGACACCGTAGAGGTTGAACTTGTATCTGTGGGAGGGGGCCAGGTTGGTTACGATGAACGTGCGGGATCCCCCATCCATGGGCAGCTCCTGGGGTTTGCCCTCCGCGTCCTTGTATTGGAGGAGGAAGGAGTCGAAGGTCCCTTCCACGGTCCAGGAGAGCAGGATGGAGTCGTGGGTGACGTTGGAGGCTGAGAGCTCCCCAAGGCTGGGCTGGGGGGTGGGTTCCTCCTGCGGCACCGCGACTGGAACAGAGAGATGGGGGTGAAGAGCGTGGCCAGGGTGGGGGCATGTCTGGAAACAGGATCCCACATTCCCGGGTTCCCCACAGACATCCTGCCTCCCTGTAGGGGTTGGCCCATAGTGACGGGAGCAAACCTTGGTGAGAGCTGAGCTGAGACGGGAGGAGAGAGGGGGAACGAAGAACAAACAAGAGAAAAAGAGAAGGAGGTGGATCAAAGCCATGAACGTCAATGGAAAGCTCTCCAGTCACACCCATCCAGCCCCAGACACGCCCATTCCACCGTCTTCATACGCTCCCCCATCCATCGATCACCCATGCACAGCTACATCCATCTATCCAGGCATCCATGACCTTACCCAGCATAGCCCTTGTACCTCCCACTGCAAAAGGGTTCCCAGACACGCTCATGTCTGCCATGCATCCCCCCAAACACCCATCCAGTTCTGTAAACTCCATCCATCCCCATCCGCATCCATTCATCTCCTTATCCATCCATCCCCATCCCCATCCATCCATCTCCTTATCCATCCATCCCCATCCCCATCCATCCATCTCCTTATCCATCCATCCCATCCGCATCCATCCATCTCCTTATCCATCCATCCCCATCCCCATCCATTCATCTCCTTATCCATCCATCCACATACACATCCATCCATCTCCTTATCCATCCATCCCATCCGCATCCATCCATCTCCTTATCCATCCATCCCCATCCCCATCC